ATTTTTTCCACACTTGTTCCAACATTCTTTTTCATAGCTGTTTCGGAAGTGTGTGGTTAGATACGCATCGTCATCGTCGTGAGTTGAGTTTGAATCATTCAACAGCACGAAGGTGGGAAGGAAAAAGTCCAGTATTATGGACTGTTTCTCGCTACTTGCAGACTCTAAAAGGCTAGGCGAATGTCGATTTACCCATCAAAAGCACATCGTTGAACTAAAGGTTTCAGGTGATAGCGGATGCGGATGCAGCTGAGACAATGTTGTTTGATATTTGGCACAATGTCTGGACCTGGGTACCGATACCGTACTACAAAGAATCATTTTTCTACGCAGTTGCTAGCACCAGCAAAGGTTTACACGCGCTCAGTGCAGATGGTTTCTTCACGGTATTCATCAGTGGCATTCATGATCGTGCTGGATACGGCTTCACTGCCGCTTACAACGGTCGGTAAATTGATCATTTGTGGTGAAGTGTCCCTGGCAAGTGTGCTTTTTTTCCAGATTGATCAGCACGATTTCTGGTTCTAGCTAAAACACCTTTGCACAAAGTCTCGCTAGTTTGCTTGTTACTGTACAAGGCAACATCACGTGTCTTATTTTAATCGGCGCATTATTTACGCTAAATTACACATAGCTGTGATTGGACGGACAGTCCGTCTTGTAGAAATACAATTAAATCATCGAGTCTACCACCATCAGCAAGCGCGCGGCACGTCGCAAGGGCTGTCGCTGTAGTGGCAGTGTAACGGTAATCACTGTGCAGTTGGCTTTTCTGTAATTATTCAGTTCCATGCCTTGCTATACTGTAATTTATTCCTCGCGACAGGTTGTAAACTCGCTACAGAATATAATTAAAACCCAAACTGGATCGCACCAGGTTTTCCGGTGCGGTCTTGCGTTTTTGCACTAAACTCGCAGATCACTAATAGCACGAATGATACCTACGCTGTAACCTAACACTTTGGCTCGTATTGGCCTTGGTTTGGCTCCTTCCGGCGTGCAGGAGAAAGGGCATCAGTTGGGATGAAGGTGGTGCATTATAGAGCTGCATGGACATCCATGCGCATGATTACCGGTTTTTTATGCGTTTTTGCATATATGTAAATTGCAAAAACGCATATTGGGAAGAGGCTGTCTGTGTTTATCTGTGTGTTCGCACTTTTTGTCACCCACTTTCAACTCGGGACCCAGAAAAGCTAGAAGGCTGAAAGCTTGGGGATATGTGCCTATACCATGCGCGACCCTCCCGTTTTAATTTCATCCCCCTTGGACGCCTCGGTGCCGAGTACGGACGCTTTAAAGAAATATGCAAATTTTTTGGCGGGAAAGCTGTCTCGGGAATCACATGAGCTAAGGGCTGAAACTTTGTGAGGATATTCCCTGTGCATGTACTAGCTAAAGATTTCAAATTCAGCCCCCAGTTGTGCGTGGTACTCACGTAAGGGCTTTTGAAAGTTTTGGAGGGAAAATTGCTAACTCGGATACCAGGAAAGCCAGAAAGCTGAAATTTTGCTGGAATGTTCCCTATCGAAGTACAATTCAAATATT